GGAGGTGGAGCTCTATTCCCCCGAGCCTCTGCAGCCAAATAGTGTAATCCCCCAGCTCATCAAGGAGGAGGCGGCGGTGGTGGTGGGCAAGTTTAAAAGTGACATCCCTGTGCTCAGCATGCCCGAGGCCGTGAGCGGTGGCATGCCAGTGTACCACCAGGCCCACCTCATCCAGCAGGAGCCCATCCTGCCTCTGCACCTCGACCCGTTCGACAAGGAGCCCACCTCCCCTTTGGAGGAGGAGGAGGAGGAGGAGATGGAGAACGAGCAGTTCGGCCTTCTCCACGGCTACATGTACAACAACGCCCAGATTCATGACGAGGAGGAGTTGGTCGAGGTTAAACTGGCGATGGAGGAGTCTCTGGCTCTGATGCCTCCGTCCCCTTTCCGCGATTGCTCCGGCGCCCCGGTGAGCCCCTTCCCCAACTCGCCGGTGTCCGAGTCGATTTTGTGCACGCCCCCGAACGCGACGTACGCCTCGGTCATCCTCAGAGACTACAAGCAAAGCTCCTCAACTCTGTGAGGGCTGCACTCTCAGTGTTGCCACTTGTACTATATGTCCAGGTTTTTAAGGACTTGTGCTGTATACGATGAGGGCAAAAGTCATCCTGTGGTCATTTTTCACTTAGTAGCTTTTACATGATAAGGTTGAGCAACGAGGCGCCACATTTTAAACTTCTTTTAGATGTTGTATACAGTAGTGAAGCAACTTCCTAATTACAAACATACTGTATATTTCTATAAGCTTTTAGGATAAACTAGATTTTCTTCTTATGAGACAGATAACTAAGATCGTGTATGTATGTACATTTAATGTCCTATTACTAGATCTGTTTGATAAATATTAGGTGAGACGATTTTAAGCAGGGCAACTTAATATAGTTTCTATGTAATGCAAAACAATTCACTTTAACAGTACGTTAAGAAAATGTGTTTTGTGTTACACTTTGTGTGTTCTGTACTTTTTATCAGGCAAAGGAAGAGATTTAAAGCAGTAGTTTGATCTTTTGCGAAGAAATATTGCAGAAAGATGAGAAGATCAACGTCCCACTTGTATTTGTGAGTTAAATATAAAGATACAGAAATTAATTAGTGAGTTTTAGAGGTGCTGGTGGTGGGTTTTGTTATCTTTGGACAGAGCTGGAGGGCTGAACTATGAAGCAAGTTCAACAAAGCCGGGCTTTATTTGTGTTAGCTGGCTTTAAAAAACCGAAATCAGAGATAACAGGCATCATCATGGTGATCAACCAAGTTGTCTTCATCAGACTTAACATAAAGTCTGGATGTAAAAGGGAACATTTGATGCATCAGTTGCCTCTTTTTTCCACACATAATGAACCAATGACATGCAGCCTTCTTCAGACAAGACAAACAGGTTGTTATAATGGAGAGGGATGAAGAATATAACCATTTATTATGGCAAATGATGAGAAGTGCTGGTAGAAAACTCCTAATGATGCAAGTTGTTTTGTTTATTTTACTACTTAGTGACTCTGAATGCAGCTGCTTATTTCTAATATGACAGCTGCACCTTTGAGCTCTTCAACTTTGAGCTCCAATCATATAAAGATTATACTCAGCAAGTGCATTTAAGTCAAGGATACGTGGAAATCACTTGAGTTTTTGACCAAAAAACATTGAAAATAATGTTATGGATTGAAAATTAACTGTGATAAACGCCAGTAGACTCATCACATCTGTGTTCTATTAGCAATATGAGAAATGTAAAACAGATTAGGCATCAGGATAAAAACATATTCATGCATTTTCTGCAGCACCAACTGAACATATGTAGGTTCCCGTAGCAACATCACCTTTACAGTTTGTGCTTCTGTAACTGCACAGCTTCATTCAGTGACATTCCCAACATACAGATATAACGTATTCCCTCATCTGAGAATCTGTATCGCTCATATGATCAGGAAAACAAATGGTGAAAACTGAATCCAGAAACTCTGAACAGAAACTCATCTGGACCAGGTTAGCTGTGCAGCATCAGTTGCCATGGTGATCTAACCGGGTTTTGTTGGCTTTAGGCTCAACGTACTTCACTAACACATTGGTCTTTCTTCGTAGTTCATCCCTCTACACACTGTGGCTTCATATTTAGCGTACAGACATAAGAAAGGGGTCTATAGGTGGTTTTCTATTGCAGGAACTCGAGGCAGGCACAAATTGGCACAAAACTTCAAAGGAACAGACCCATAATTCAGTCTTTCAGCCTTTCTTTTTCTACTGGACGCAACCAGTGGTGGATATTCTGTTGAAGATGGCGACGTTGGAGAGGAGAAACTTCTTCTCAGTGAGGATGATTAGGCAGGCTCCAACTTGAACCAATCAGCACCATTTTCTCAGAGTTTAACCAATCAGCATTGAGCCCTGCACATACATTAAATTGCCCTGAAATCATCCCTTAAAAAAGGCTCCTACAGGCACAGTTCCCGCAGTGGAAAACAGCTCTATCTTCTCATCTAAATCGAACTAACACCCCAAAATATCAACTACTCCTTGTAGCTTAGGAAATAAACTACTATCTGTGAATCTATCTTTGATCGATACAGTACTGCCAAGCAAGAGCACCGTCTGTATCACGAATGTAGCAGAGGACAATGTTCAAGTGCCACGTTTTCATTACGATTTCTTTTTTTGTTTTCCTTTTATACATTTATTTCTATGGTCTGGAAATGCAAGTTAAACTAGTTTAACGTTTGTATCTTTTATAACTTAGACATCTGGTTTCCTAACTGTATAGATTATTGTTTAAGATAGATGACATACACATGTTTTGTGAATGTATGTTGTGTATCATATTTTGGTATTCAGATGTTATCTATACGCATTACAGTATTACAGAGGACTCGTTCGCTGTATATGCTTCTATTGTGTGTGTGATCGGTTGTGCACACCAGTCGATTTGGTAAATATTAAGCCTATTAAAGCCGTATAATGTGATAAAGTGCTAACAGTAGTGATCATATGAATAAGCTATTTGCAGCCAGAGACATGCAGTGCAGTATAAACTAGGTTTGCAGTTTTAAACAATCTGCTGTAGACAAAAACACCTGTTTGATTGGAGTAAATTCAATATTTTTTATGCTTCTGTCTCCTGTTTTTCATGGTGAAACGTTAGGTGTGGTCTTGTCCTGCTTCTTCCAGTGAATGTTTTGATTCAAAGGTCAGAGATTTATGGCTTTGGTATAAAAAAAACAATGCAGGAAGTGAAAAAAACAAGGGGTAAATTAACAGTGAGTCAGTTTTGTTGCTAATCCTTTTAGTGCCGTTTGTAAAATTGGGCGTAAATATGACCTACCTGTGTGATAGAGGAAACAAGGAGCATTTTATCTGCCTCCATAGTGCAGCTCAGTGAACATGGAGAGGAGCCCGGTGAAGACGTGCACAGAAAAGCTGTGCAAAGTTTTAGTCATCGGGGATTCAATGGTTGGCAAAAGCAGCATCATCCTGCGTTATGTTAAGAAACAGTTTAATGAGAAATACAAAGCAACTACTGGAATTGACTTTGCCCTAAAAACACTGGAATTGGATGCAAAGACTATGGTGAGACTGCAGCTTTGGGATATATCAGGTGAGTGGTGACATTATGTTCATATTAATTCTAAAGTCAGTCTCTGCAAAGCTAAAACACAGAAGGAAAGATGAAAATCTGACTTCATGGTGTCTCTGTAATGAACCATAGAAATGTGGAATTCCTCTGAAAACAGTAAAAATCTGCAGTAAAACAAAACAAGACCCAAATCTAAAACATGTACATAATGCATAAATAGTTTCTCCCTCGCTGTTGTCTTCAAACATGTATTTTTTGCACTAACGTGTTGGTAAATTTGTTTGTTATTCATTATGCATTATTAAATAAAGTAGTAAACCCTATAATGTTCACAACAACTTCCAACTATCTGATGATAGTGATTTTATGGTTAATTTACACACACTTAAATGTAACTCAGTTTAAATTCATGTATTATACAGAGATCAGTATAAATATTACTAGTTAAGTTGACGGTATCATCCAAACCAGATTTAATCCCAATGAACTGTGAATTCAAAATGAAAAAAAAACAAAACATGTTATTCACTTAAAATGTATTTAAAATTTCATCTGTAAGTTCCAGTTGCATTCTGTGAAGTTAATTCAGATCCAGAGAGCTGCATCCAGAGAGAGTACAACATACACTTAAGATATAATAACCTCTCTGTGTGCTACATGGCGAGCCAGTCTGGCAATTTAAAGCCCCTTTTTCCAAATTCTTATGCTGTGCAGCTG